GCACCATCCAGGTGTTATGTACACCAATAATTTTCTGAGCTCTTCAGAGGAGACAATAAGATCAAAGGTGATTTCCCCCTCACTTACTCATGTTTCAGCAATCAACCTACATTACCTTGTAAAGAGGCCTAGAGATGAGTTTGCAGGCAAAACTTGGAGAAAATATAGAGAGGTCTAGACTGGCTACATGGGATTTTTTTCTCATTTCTAGTCTCCCTAGCCAGTAAAACTTTCTAATGTAAGAAATGGTCTTTAATGACCAGTGGTGATGAGCATTTTTTCATATGTTTGTTGGCCACATAAATATCTTATTTTGAAAAGTGCCTGTTCATATCCTTCACCCACTTTTTGATGGGGTTGTTTGTTTTTACTTTTAATTTGTTTTAGTTCTTTGCAGATTCTGGATATTAGCTCTTTGTCAGATGGGTAGCTTGCAAAAAAATTTTCCCATTCTGTTGGTTACTGGTTCACTCTAATGATAGTTTCTCTTGCTGTGCAGATCTTAAGTTTAGATCTCATTTGTCTGTTTTGGCTTTTGTTGCCATTCCTTTTGGTGTTTTAGTCATGAAGTCCTTGCCTATGCCTATGTCCTGAATGGTATTGCCAAGTTTTCTTCCAGGGTTTTTATGTTGTTAGGTCTTATGTTTAAATCTTCAATCCATCTGGAGTTAATTTTTGTATAAGGTGTAAGGAAGGGGTCCAGTTTCAGCTTTCTGCACATGGCTAGCCAGTTTTCCCAACACCCTTTATTAAACAGGGAATCCTTTCTCCATTGTTTGTTTTTGTCAGGTTTGTCAAAGATCAGATGGTTGTAGGTGTGTGGCGTTATTTCCAAGGCTTCTGTTCTGTTCCATTGGCCTATATCTCTGTTTTGGTGCCAGTACCATGCTGTTTTGATTACTGTAGCCTTACAGTATAGTTTGAAGCCAGGTAGCGTGATGCCTCCAGGTTTGTTCATTTTGCTTAGGATTGTCTTGGCTATGCGGGCTCTTTTTTGGTTCCATATGAAGTTTAAGGCGGTTTTTTCCAGTTCTGTGAAGAAGATCAATAGTAGCTTGATGGGGATAGCATTGAATCTATAAATTATTTGTGGCAGTATGGCCATTTTTGCAATATTGATTCTTCCGAACCATGAGCACGGAATGTTTTTCCATCTGTTTGTGTCCCCTCTTATTTCTTTGAGCAGTGGTTTGTAGTTCTCCTTGAAGAGGTTCTTCACGTCCTTTGTTAGTTGTATTCCTAGGTATTTTATTCTCTTTGTAGCAATTGAGAATGGAAGTTTGCTCATGATTTGGCTCTGTTTGTCTGTTATTGGTATATAGGAATGCTTATGATTTTTTCACATTGATTTTGTATCCTGAGATTTTCCTGAAGTTGCTTATCCTATTAAGGAGATTTGGGGCTGAGATGATGGGGTCAAAACCATATTGCGATACCATCTCATGCCAGTTAGAATGGTGATCATTAAAAAATCTGGAGACAACAGATGCTAGAGAGGATATGGAGAAATAGGAACGCTTTTACACTGTTGGTGGGAGTGTAAATTAGTGCAACCACTGTGGAAGACAATATGGCAATTCCTCAAGAATCTAGAACTAGAAATACCATTTGACCCAGCAATACCATTACTGGTTATATACCCAAAGGATTATTAATCATTCCACTATAAAGACACATGCACACGTATGTTCATTGTGGCAATGTTTACAATAGCAAACACTTGGAACCAACCCAAATGCCCATCAAAGATAGACTGGATAAAGACAATATGGCACATATATACCATGGAATACTATGCAGCCATAAAAACGATGAGTTCATGTCCTTTGCAGGGACATGGATGAAGCTGGAAACCAACATTCTCAGTAAACTAACACAAGAACAGAAAACCAACACCACATGTTCTCACTCATAAGTGGATGTTGAACAATAAGAACACATGGACACAAGGAAGGGAATATCACACACTGGAATCTGTTGGGGGGTGGGGAGGCTTGGGGAACAATAGCATGGGGCAGGGGTGTTGGGGAGGGATAACATTAGGAGAAATACCTAATGTAAGTGAAGTGGGGATGGAGGCAGCAAACCACCATGGCATGTGTATACCAATGTAACAATCCTGCAAGATCTGCACATGTACCCCAGAACTTAAAGTATAATAAGAAACAAAAAATTTACAATTTAAAAATGAGAAAAACATTAACAAATGGTCTTACTGTAAAAGTCAAATTAATGGCGTGGATATAATGTCCTTTGATAAGGCTTTTCATATATTTAAGGCATGACTAATGGCTATCTCAATTAGACAAAAGATTTCTATATATCTTAAAAGCACTTCAGAAAAGCCTAATCCTAAAACAGGCATAAATATGTTTGTAGGGAGAAGTATGTGTTTAATTGCATGACTCTTACTAAAGCTAAGTATATGAAATCTGTTACACAGAAAACCAAAGGATAATTAAGCAGATTATACCACCAAAACAACTATTACTTTGGCTTAAAGAAAACAGATATTGGTCAAATTATAAAAAAGACTTCTGGTCCCCCAGCTTTCTTCAGGCAAGAAGCAATCTGCGCAAGTTATTTATTTGAGCATAGTAATTTCTTTTTAAATGAAAAAGGGAAGATGCTTCCAGCCAAGAATACAGAGAATGGAGCTACAGGCCACTGACAACAATGTACCAGAGAACCACTTCCATTAAGTAGAAAAGTATGATATACTATGGAACAGCTTTCTGGGTAATACTACCATGACTTACTCATGAAATGTTCCCTGCTTCCAGAGTAGGGACAACTGGCAATATTTTTCCTCACAAGATTCCAGGCTTGTTATGGACAGTGACAGTTACCTATTTTCTGTTCTCCCACTTTTGGAGCGGAAGTGTCTATTATAGTTATCCTATCCCTGTAACACCATTGTATATTGATATAATGTAGAATACAACTTTTCCCTTTGTTTCTCTAGATTCTAGATCAAGAGTAGCCACATCCAGATATAACGCCAATCACAAAATCCTGGACTTCAATCTTAGTTCTATAATTAGATGACAGTTTTGGCATCCTGGAATGATGGTGAAGACATGTGGGAGGGATGTTAATATTTGTAACCAGTGGGCACATTATGATAGAATACAAAGTTGGCCACAAATATTTTCTTTTCTTACACCCACACCTCTGCAATGTGACTTCACAGATCCATCAAGCGGTAGAATATGTTTCTCAAATATGGGTTTGTCTTGAAACTTTCTTTGCCTAATATAACATTAGCAAATATGAAGCAAGCAGAGGCTTAAACAATGCTTATGCACTGGGAGTAACCTTTTCTCTGCTTTTGGAACCTGTTAACTGTTAGCATGCAAGAAACCCAGGTTGTCACTCCAATAAACAGCCTTACCAATTACCATACATGTGAGGCCAGTGTCACTAAGGATCACAGTTTCCTAAAGGGATAAGCAACATCCCTCCTCAGTCTAATCTTTATGTGTGATATTTTGGCCCACATATGCTTTATTCCTTTGTGTTATTACCCAATTGGATCAGAACATGTAAAAGAAAGATCGGTATTAATTACATGGCCCCTCATAGATCTCAGCAATGACGATGATGCTTCATTTCCTTCTTCTACACTTGCAGTTAAGGTTCAAGACAATTTTATAAACCCCTGAAAGGAGACATTGATGATTCTACATGTCTGATAATTGTATACTATTGACTAAACAATAGCATTCATTACTGTATATTGGTAAAAGCCAAAGCAGGATTCCTTCTTATGCAAATGGTTGTTCGGGCTTTTAGATGTCCCTTTAAGGGAATCAACACAAAGCAACCCTGAAATTCTCATTCTGAGAAGATGGGAATATACATAAATATCTTTTATCTAACCATTCTGAGGGATCATTAAGTTGTTCATTTTTATTACTTCCTATCCAGCACAGCACTCCTATTCAACGAGACTCCTGCCCCTTGTTTATTAGTTACAAATATATGTATCATGCAGTCACTTCTCCACTTGCTAGAAGAAAGCAGTGACGGTGTCTAGAGTCACAACCTTTGGCAGATCACAAGAAAATGAGAAAGGCAAGTGAAGAAAGCAGATATGATCAATGATTAGCTGTATGACATTATAGGTAGATGGAAGACAGTAAGCAGATATGTAAGTCAGAAGGTAGTTACTGGTCTGTCTTGATCCCTGCTGATCCTCAACACCCATAACAATGTCCAAAAGATGATGTATCTACTGAAGGACAAAAGAAACGATGGGAAGGATTGTTCTCACAATGTGTGCTAGCTCCTGGTCTTGCCTGAATTAGCAGTTCCCTATCTTTTTCCTTAGCCCAGAGATCTAATTATAGATTTTTCCATGTCTGTGGCAAGCATTCAAAAACTAGACAAATATAGCAATACATCAATAATATTCAATGACGCAATAGCTATTACATCCTGTGTTACAATTTCTTAGACTACCCAGAAATTAATTATACTCTATGGTAGTAAACAATAAAGAATTAGGAATATTTCCCAAGTACTTATCCTTTAGGAAACATCTAAATAAAATAAAAAGAAAAAAAGATTACTTCAACATTATCAGAGAAAACTCCAAGATAAAGAACCCACTAATTTACATACAGGCAATTTTCAGGTAATTGCAGAAGCGTTGAGTGCTCAGAGCCTTTGTGGGGCTGGCCTGTTGCTTTGCTGGTTCTCCTGGCTGGCTGGCTGGCTGGCTATGCTGATAGTGTAAGTCAAGGGATTATTAGATTGGCCACATGTTCTCTGCTTTTGTCTCTTTGTTTTCATTTTTTGGGGAGACAGAGGTAGTAAGGTTGAATGGGACCCCAGAGATCTAAGAGAAAAGGAGGAGGGGAGAGAAATTTGTAGTGATGAGTGTTTTCTGCTCTAAGAGTCCTGAGAGAATGTAAGAGTTTGATTCTGGCAGAAGCAAACTGGCAATGTGGGTCAAGAATTAACCCACAGAATGCCAGGATAACATCTCTTGAGACATGTCTCTAAATTACATCAGAAACTTCTATGAAGGATGTGTAAGTATTATGCAAACAAAAAAATCAATTGTATGAATCTTTTCTGAGTATTTTAACCTGATTTACATAAGCCTTGGTGAATAAATTCCTCTATGTCTATGGAGAATACTATAAGTATCAACAATATACTTCAAAATATTCTTAATTTAAAACTATAAAAAGAAAAATTCAGGAAGTATCTTTAGATGTTGTTGTTTTCGCATAGCTCACTCTCTCAATTCCATAATTAAGAAGTAGGAAGAAAAACTGTAATTATAACTAATAAACATTATTTGGTTGTTAAGATGGTGTATGGACCAAACTTACTACTGGAGTTGTTATCTAATTTGCAAAAAGAAGTGCTAGATATTCTGATTTTACTTCAAAAGAATGACCGTGGGGGGGGGTATTAATTGAATTCAAAGCTGGTTAAGTATTTCCACATTTACACATTTAATTAGCAACATGTTTCCATTGCTAATGGAGACATATTTTAATAGTTTAATAGTGAGAAATTTTCATATTTTAATAGTGAGAAATCTCATAATGCAGTAATTATATTTGATTTGATGATCTCTAAGGGTCTATTTGGCTTCAAAACTTCTTGAATCTTACATTTTTTTAATGTGGTAATAGGACTCTTTAAATGTCCTCCTTTATTGTTTGTTTTTAAAAGATTTTTTTTTTCTTCTAAAATCACAAAAGGTTAAACCTCCGATTGGTCAATTCCACACCCGTTTCTTTGGATCGACCCAAATGTTCTTCCTTGGGGTACTAGGCTTTGCAGTTTATGGGAATGAGGCCTTACACTTCAGTTGCAATTCAGACAAAAGAGAAACAAATCTCATCTGTTACAATCAGTTCAGGCCAATCTCTCCACAAGTTAAGTATTTTTGTGTGTACATAAACATTAACTTTACAACAAATTCATTTTCTCTTTAAATGTAAAATAATGTCATAATATGAGAAATACTCTTAACAGTTTTTTTTAAAGGACTATGTTGCTTTTTCTTTAATTAACTGCATATTTCAGATAAATTGAATTTTAGGAGTTTCTTCCAATTCTGGCATTTTATTATCTACTGATGTTATCACTGTTCTCCAGAACTATATTCAGAATATAGAATTAGCTGGCTAATAAACTACTGCATCATTATCAGTCATTGGGAGACAATTACAATAATATATGACTATGTTTTAAAAATAAATATGTTCAACATTACTACCTTCATTATATTAAGACATAGGTAAGATTTTTATGAAACTTGGAATTTTTAAGTTATTGTATTTGGAGTTAGTGTATTTGGAGTGTATTTTTAGTTACATATTGGTTAATTGCCTTACTAAGACATTTCTGACATACTTTAGTTGTTCTGGGCATTACAACTATGATTGTCCTGGTTCCTGGAGGTATTTTCCATCTTTATGCTGCATATCCTGCATGTAAAAGCATCAATCAAGAAAGCATTCTTCAAAAGCCTATCTACACTATAATTTATATACTCTCTGTTTTATTAAGAATTAGTCTAGAGGCAACAGCATTTTGGCTTCAGATTCATCTATTTGGTTTCGAAGTAAAATCTCTACCTGTGTGATGCTAGATCTCTTGGGGAAAACATGATTATAAGATGCATGGTTCCAGAACACTTTGAAAAAAACCATTTTTCTCATTGCAATGTACACATTTACAGCACTTACAGTAGTATTATCTGTTGCTGATATTTTTGAGATCATATTTAGAAGATTATACTTTCTATTCAAACAATGGCCAAAGAATCGATTACCTATTGTCATGCTACTGTTATCATTTTTATTTAGTTTTATCTTATTCAGTGAGTACCACAATTTCAAAACAAGCTTACTTCAATGTGTCTGAAATTTATGCCAATATAAAATATAATATCTGGTTGTAAGATAGGGATTCTTGAAGAAATATTTCATTTTATTTTAATTTTGATCACTTTTATTAGAAAATATATATACAACTACTGTTAATTTATTTTTAAACAGTGCTTTTACAGAGTTCTCTCACATATAGCTCAATTAATCACAGTTTTTTTGTGGCCAGAGTAACTTTTATTGTCTTTTTTATACAAAATAGAAAACCGATGCTTAGGAAGATTAATTTAGGTGTCCCAAGTCATACAACCAGGATATAATTCAGATCTTCATATTTCCCTTCCTGTGGAACTATGCAGTTTTAAATTTGAGGGTGTCATTATTTTGCACTCATGTAAAATATAACTTATTTATGCAAAAAAACTGTAAATTAATTATTAAAGAATAATTCTATAGTTTGATCATTAACTTGAAGAAATGGATCAATTACATTTTTTAAATTTTATTCATACAGTTTTCTTGAAAGTTTTAATATTAAATGATATAGAAATATATTACCAAATAAATAAAAAATGCTATGAATAATATTGTGCATGGTATCCTTGTTTTTTCTTGGGAAAAACCCCTTCTGTGCCCACCGATGTACTGTAACTATAACTTCTATATTTAAGGTTATCAAAAAGGAATATTGCGCTTAGGCTTCCTCAATAACTATGAAATTATTTCAGAGACAAATTTATATTGATTTGGTGCATTTCTTTTTATCTGTCTGCCTTACCAACAATTTGATACTTTTGATATTATTTAAAATCTTTATGTATTATTAAAATCTTGACGTATTACTGCCTTATATTGGTAATGTAGTAGGAAAATGAGTATAGTCAAACATTCAGGTTTCCCATTTTTTCCTTAAGCTTTATGCAGCCTATTTGATATCATGAATTTCTGCATTTAAGGTTTTCATCATTGAGGTTTTCTCTACATGAAAGCATAGGAGAAAATCCAATAACTTCACTCCATAAATAGCTACTGATGTCTATTATTTTACATGTACTGCATTAAAAAGTTAATATAATAAAAAGATCATCAAGATTTAATATCTTTATAAAATCATACTCTAGCATGTGAGCCAGTGGCATGCCAAGAGGGTGGGGACTGGTAAAAATAGTCCACTCTACAAAGAAAGGATATTTATTGACTTTCTTTGTTTAGATAAATTAACCACTGGTGTTAATAAACAGCAACAGTGTTTAATATTTCATCCTTATTTTAAAATTCTTTATAGATAACACATCCCTTGATTACCTGCATTTAAGGCGGAATGCTCCCACAATCTGCTGACAAACATACACATTTTCATTATGGGTCCCATTTTTCCCACATCTTTGCAAGGCTAGTAATTTTTTATTGAATGTCAGGCATTGTGTGTTTTATCCTGTTGGATGCCAGTTATTTTTCTTCTCATGAATATTTTTCAAGTTAGTTCTGCAGCACAGTTAAGTTACTTGGAAACAGATGATCCTTTCTGCTTTTAAGCTTTGTTATATATGACCAATGTAGTACTTACTGAAAGGCAAATTTTGCCCCACTACTAAGGAAGAACCTTTCTGAATGCTCTATCAGATGCCTCTTTGGTGGTTCGGAAATACTATTCTTTCATTAGTCTCAAAAATCTTGAATTTTACCCTCCTGCTGGTTGACTTGTGGTGATGACATAAATTGCCATTGCTATAAGAAACAGATTCTCTCTGTGTCCAAGGAAAGAAGAGAGATGGGGCAAAAGGACCTTCTTCTGGTTTGCCTCTCAGGATTCTTTCTCAGGGAAGATCATTTTTTTCAAAAAATCCCACAGAAGACTTCCCATTAACACTATTGCCCAATCATAGATGAACACTTGGATTTATTCTTATTCTGATTCATCCTTCAGGGTAGCGTATTGTCAACATGTATCCAGTTATTAAGAGATTTTTTTTCCTCTCTGACTTTTGGGAATAGCAACTATTCTCAGTCTTGTGTGAATCTTGAGTATTGTTCCTTTTGATCCTTTCAGTTAGTTACTTTTCTGGAAAGGTATTTAAGGATGTCTTACTGATCAGGACTCACTTGAAGGCCCTTTGCAGATCTCTGGAGCCTTCTTCCTTTCCAGCTCTCACCTTGCTGTAGCGCCCATTAAAATCTAGCTATCTTCTTTGGCTTTGTTGGATTCTTGATCGCTTCAACTGACAAGGTGGAAGGATGGCATCTCTAAGCCACCAAAGAAACCTTGCTTGCCTCTATTTCTTTCAAGTAAACACTACATATTGTTATGTTTAAAGATAGAGATAAGATGAGAGAGGTGGTTTAGACAATCTTGTAAATTCACTACTGACCTACTATTCTATGATTTCATTTTATTAGTAGCTATATCAGAATTGTTAGCACACAGCTATGTATTCCTGAATAATAAATGCTATATACAAAAATTCATATTCAAATATAAAAACAAATTTTCCTGACTAAAATGCAAATATAGCAAAAATAAGAACATCAAAACTAAGCCATATGTAACCATTTGAAATATTTAAAACTATTTCATAAAAACCTTTTGGGTTAAGCATGGTAATTTAAACTGAAGTTTTTTAGACTATTTATATTAACATGAAGTAGAATGCTACATATTAAAACCTATGAGACATGACCAAATTTGTAGTGCATTGAAAATTGACAGCTGGAAATACATCTATTATGAAAAAGAAAACAATAAATGTAATTCAAAAAGCAAACATAATAATTTATTAAACAAATATGAACAAACATAATTTAATAAGGATGTACATAGAAAGTAACAAATTAGAAAACAAACAAAATAAAATAAATAAATCCCAGATCATTCTTGAAAATAACAATAAAATTGATAAACCTCTGGCAAATCAAATCAAGTGCAGAAGTATACTATTGTACAATTCTTGTAATATATGTAAAGTATATTATCACTTGAAGTATGCTATGACAACTTAAAGATGTGTATTTTAAAATATAAAACAACCAGTTTATTAAAGCAACACAATTTTAGCTTAACAAGCAAACAAACAAAATTAGCTAGTATCATTAAACATTCAGTTAATACAAAAGACAGCAGGAAAGAGAAAAAGAGAACAAAAACAGATGAAACAAATAGAAAACAATAACAAGGTAGCGGAGCCAAACCCAAACATATCAATAGTTAACAATAAATACAAAAGATCTTAGCATTCCAAAGACATAGAGATGGTCTAAATGTATTTTTTAAAAGTCAGACCAAATTATTAATAAGAACCCCACTTTAAACATTTTTAAATATTAAAAGGTTTAATATTTTAAAATCTTAAATATTTTATAGATAATAAATGGGAAAAGATGTATCATGCAATCCCTAAGCATCAGAGAGCTCAATTGGCTATATTAATATGAGAAAACTCAAGTCGATTTTACAGCAGGAATGATGACAGAGACTAAAGAGACATTTCATAATGATTAAAGTATAATTTCATCAGGAAGCATAATAATTGTAATATGTATGCCACCAGTTAATAGAGATTCAGAATGCATGAAGCAAAACTTGATAGATTAAAAAGAGAAATACATCCTATTATAGCTAAAGATTTCAACACATCTCTCTCAGTAATAAATGGACAAAGTAAATAGAACATCAGAAAGGATACAGAGGAATTATAAATTACTAACAAGCCCCTTAAACTAATTGATATTTATAGGATACTCCACCCAGCAACAACAGAATAGACGTTCTTTGCAAGTGTGTGTGTAACATTCTCCAATAGAGATCATTGGCTGGCCCATATGGAAGTCTCAAGGATTGAAATCATACCGACTCTATTTTCTGGTCACAATGGAATTAAACTAGAAATTAATAAAAATAAGGTATCAGGGATGCATCCAAATGTTTGAAAAATTAACAAAGTACTTTTATGAACCCGTAGATCAAAGAAAAAATTACCTGGGAAATTAAAAACTACTTTAACCAAAAATGCAAGCACAAAAATGCAAAATCAAAATAAGTGGAAAGCAGTTAAAATAGTGTTTGGCAGAATATTAGAAGTTCTAAATATTATTTATGTTAGAAAAGAAGTTATATAGTGATTTTAAATTCTCACTTTCAGAAGTTTTTAAAAGACAATTTAAATACAAATTAAATAGAATGATGCAAATAAAAATACAAGTATAAAACAGTAATAAAAAACCCAGACAAGAGAAAATCAATTAAACCAAAATATAGTTCTTTGAAAAGTTTAATAAAATTTATAAATTTCTAGTTTGATAATATAACAAAGAAGAAAATGAAAGTTATCCATAAGATAAATCAAAAATGGACATTATAGTAAAACCTTAAAGTGATTATAAGGAAACATCATGAACAATGTTAGATCAATAAGTTTGCTACCTAGATGAAAACAATTCTAAATTCCAGACTACTAAAAACTGACGGATGTAAACAAAAAATATGAATATGACTAGCCATACATCTATTTTTAAAATTCTAAATCCAAAGCCTTCCCACAAAGAAACACCAGGCCCTCATTAATTCAGTGGTGAATTTCATTAAATGTTTAAGGAAGAAATAATACTCCAAAATAGTTTTTAGGAATTAGACGAGAATATATGCCATTTCATGTAATGAGGCCAGCATAACCTTGACGTTAAAAATTCTTAGCAAAAATATAATTGCAGATATAATTCAGCAACATATATAAAGATAATACATCATGTTAAGTAGGGTTTACCCCAGGAATGAAAACTTGTATTATTAACACCCATTTATAAGGAAACAAACTAAAAACCAAACCCTAAACCTCTCACTTTAAATGGGTTCTACCTAAACTTGATAAATAGCATCTAAGGTAACCTACAAGAATTATCAGTTTCCCCTGTAGTCTCAAAATAGGCCAGGCTATCTACTTTTACCACTTGTGTTTAATGTTGAACTGGAATTCAATAAGATGAAAACAAAATAAAACTTCATCTTAAATATATATTTATTCAATAAGTATAATAACGAACAATATACAAATTGCAAAATAATAAATATCTTTATTCACAGACAAGATCATATGCATAGAAAATTCTAAAGGATGTTCCAAAAAATTAAATTTATGGGCCAAGCACTATGGCTCATGCCTGTAATCCCAGCACTTTTGGAAGTGGAGGCAGGAAGATCGCTTAGGTCCAGGAGTTTGAGATTAGCCTGGGCAACATAGCAATACCCCACTTCTACAAAATTTTTTTAAAAAAATTAGCCAGGCATGGTGGTGCCTGCCTGTAGTCCCAGCTACTCCAGAGGCTGAGGTGAGTGGATGACTTGAGCCCAGGAGTTTGAGGCTGCAGTGAGCTATGATTGCACCATTGCCCTCTAGCCTGGGTGGCGGAGCAAGACTCTGCCTCTTTAAAAAAGAAGAAGAAGAAGAATTTTTCTATAGAGCAAC